ATATTTTTAATTATAATATTTTAATAATAATATTGGGTTAATAAATGTAAACATAATATTTTTAATGTTACTATTCTATTTAATGTCAAACATAATATTACAAATAACGCAACAGTAAATATATTCAACATTTAATTTTAAAAATGCATGCTATGGTGTTCAGTCTTGTCATGCATGCAGTGTACAGACGGTTACTGTAGCCATTTGACATACATTTATTAGTAAGAATCTCGTAGGCCTGCATAGAATTGTAGACATGCAGGGAATCAGTTACTGTAGACAGAGTTCAGCTGGTAGCTAGAGTGTTGTCTTGTCAAGCATGTTGCAGACGACTCACACAAACTAATGCTTTTCTCCGTTTGTTGTACACATTCAATTGTTTTTTTGTTCTTCAATCTTCTATCTAATTTTCAACCTCTTCTTCTTATTTCTCATGTTTTTTTATTTTCACAACAAAAGTTTTAGGTTTACTCGTTATTAGGGCAAATAAACTCAGTTGCGTCTTTTATTAAAACTTACTCGTTATTAGGTTTAATGTTTAATTATAATATTTTAATAATAATATTGGGTTAATAAATGTAAACATAATATTTTTAATGTTACTATTCTTTTTAGTAAGAATTTCGTAGGCCTGCATAGAATTGGTAGGCATGCAGGGAATCAGTTACTATAGACAAAGTGCAGATGGTAGCCAGAGTGTTGTCTTGTCAAGCAGTTCACAGTGGCGCGCAGAGTGTTGTCTTGTCATGCAGCTCACCAAATTGTTATTAATACAGTCCCTCCAAATTGTTATTAATACAACCCCTCTGAATTATTATCATATCAATTAGTAAAACAGTCCCTCCAAACACAATTTTTGCTATGTCTCAAACACCACAATACATGATTAGTGCACATCTTAACGGTGAAGTTTTTGAATGTGACATAGCCAATTACAATTTCAGAAACACTGATGTTATGAGATTTTTAATTGACAGAAGGTCAAATTTTTTACACTTGAAGTCTAGATTAGAAAAAACTGCAATGTGGTCCAGTTGGGCAAATAATATACAAAAATCCAGTGTTTTTTTGGCGGGCATAGTGAATGCAAATTTTTCCCATTAAAGGTTTGAGACAATGAAGATGTGCGTAACATGTTCCACAGTCACGAGTATTCTGGTTTCTCAGATATCGTGTTACATGTTACGTTACAACAACAACAATTGTCTCAACAACTTGATTCTTCTTAAGTTTTTTGCGAATCTGATGAGGAACACGCTAAAGTCAATGTCATTGAAGAAGAAGAAGAAGCAACTGAAGTCACTGTTGACGAGATGGTGAACAATAAGGAAGAGGGGGTTCCGCCCGACCATGTTTATTGCCCACCTCAACACATGACAACTCTTGACTTAGGTGACGATGAACCCTCAATAGATGTTTTTTATAACCCGAACTACACAATAGAAGGGCAACTGAAAGAGGGTGACGAGTTTCGTACCAAAGAAGATTGTGTCCGAGCAATTAAACAATATCACATGGACTTATCAGCAGATTATAGAGTCGATCGGAAAAATCCAACTTGGCATACTATCTATTGTCGTAATGAGGTGTGTCTGTTCCGATTAACAACGTCTTTCATGAAGAGAAGTGATTCCTAGAAGATAGGGTCAATGGGTCCAGCCCACACTTGTATAATCTCGAATTCGATGCAGGACCATCGCAAGCTCAACTCTTGATTAATTTGCGATGAGATTCTTTCAGTCATTAGAGACAACCCGTCTTTGAAGGTGAGTACCATAATATCACATATGGTTCAAAGGTACAATTACACTCCTTCATACCGAAAAGTATGGATTGCTAGGACTAAAGCGGTTGAAAGGGTGTTCGGAAATTGGGATGAGTCTTACAAGGAACTCTCAAAATTCTTGGTGGATCTTAAACAATACTCTCCAGGGACTGTTGCCATATTGGAGACAATGACAGCGTGTACACTAGCGGGACTTACGTTGGTGGAAATGAAATTTTTCACAGACTCTTTTGGGCGTTTGAACCATGCATCAAAGGGTTTGCATATTGTAAACCTATAATTCAAGTTGACGACACATGGTTATACGGGAAATATAAGGGCACCCTACTCATGGTTGTGGCACAGGATGGGAACAACAACATTTTTCCAATAGCCTTCGCTATAATTGAAGGGGAGACTGCTAGGGGTTGGAGTTTGTTCTTAAAAAATCTCTGCTTTTATGTTTCTCCCCAACCTAACTTATGTTTGATCTCTGATAGACACCCATCAATCGAGAGTGCATACAATAACCTTGATAACGGTTGGCAGGATCCTCCCTCGACCCATGTGTATTGCATAAGACATATCGCCCAAAACTTCATGCAGGAAATCAAAGACAAAACACTACGGAAGAAGGTTGTGAATGCAGGATATGCACTAACAGAGCCCACATTCAAATACTACAGTGACGAGACTAGACTAACAAACACGGAGGCATTAAGATGGATTGATAATATTGATAAAGAGAAATGGACACGGGCATACGACAATGGGGTGCGATGGGGCCACATGACAATTAACCTCGTAGAATCAATGAATTCTGTTTTCAAGGGAATCTGAAACCTACCGATAACTGTCTTGGTAAAGGCAAAATATTTTAGGCTAGACGCACTCTTTGATAGCAGACGTACAAAGTGGGGTTCAGTATTACAATCTGGTCAGCTGTACAGTAATAGTTCAACAACATTCATGAAAGATGAAGCTTCCAAAGCCAACACACATGTGGTCACAATCTTTGACCGTAACAAAGGTTGGTTCAGTGTTGCCGAGTCAATTGATCACAACGAAGAAAGGCCTAGGGGATGTTACCGAGTTGAACTGGATAGGAGCTGGTGTGATTGTGGGAAGTTTCAGGCATTTCGTATGCCTTGCTCTCATGTTATAGCAGCATGTTCGAAGGCGCGCCATGATCCAACCAACTTTCTTTCTGCAGTTCACCAAGTGATAAGTCTATGCAATGTCTACACATGTAGCTTTCAGGTGGTGGCAAAGGAGGACTATTGGCCTCAATAGGAAGGCGAAATTGTCTGGCATAATGATTTTATGCGAAGAAAGAAAAAGGGTCTCCCTAACAACACGCGCATTTGAACGGAGATGGATACCGCAAACAAGATGGTAAGATTATGTAGTTCGTGTCGGCAACCAGGACACAATCGTACAAAATGTCCTAATGTAGGATTAAGCACAAGATCATAGTGTCTAATGTAACTGTGTCCCTTTAAATCAAAAGCAAATTTCATTCCATTTAAAGTATACTTAACCGATTACAATCAGCAAGCAACAAAAATTAAACAAACATAACTTAATACCACAACAACATTCCGAAAATAAAAACAACAAAATGACATAAAACAGAACAATGCCTTAAGGTGTCTACGATATCACAACCATCAACGTTATCTTCTTTGGTGTTAACATCATCACAAGGACACCAGCATCATTTTCCACTTTTCTCCATTCACGAGTAACTTCGTTTCTCCCTGCCTCCTTGACCAACCTCTCAATTTTCTTAATCTTTTCACCTGCAGCAATATCTCCTTCTAGCCAACGGTTCAGTTCCCTATGCAAATGCTCCAACGTCTGCGTATTCCACATGAGCACCTTCATCGGAGGCTTTGTTGCTGAAAAATGAACTAGGGCATTTCTTTTCATTAGAGGAAATGTTGGAAACGGTTCCTCCGATGCTGATGACGACGACGAAGAACGTTGATTTAGAAATGCAGACATTCTAGACTCCATTCCACTCAAAATTATTAAGACTTCAGTCTTTTGGTATAAAATGTTGTGCCTTAAATAGAAAAATAAAATAGTACGTACGCCATATGATATGCCTTAAAAACCCTTACAAAATTTATATACTTTTTTTTTCCCACAAATACCAAATTTTTTCAACGTAAGATATATAAATATCAAAATTCAAAGGTGACCTACAATTATATATTTAATTATATACGAATTATGTTTTAAAATTATATGTTAATCATATATTTATTATGTTATAAAATTTAAACCTATTTATATTTATTATGTTTAAAAATTATATACAAATATATTTATTATTTAAAAAACTATATCACAAAAATTATATTTATTATTTAAATTAATTTATAATTTAAAATTTTAAATATATTTATAATTTAAAAACTATATTTATTATTTAAATTAATTTAAATCAATTTTTATTTTAAATCACAAATATATTTAAAATATATTTTAAAACTATATCACAAATATATTTATTATTTTAAATATATTTAAACCTAAATCAATTTAAATATATCATATAAAACAAAAAATATAAAAATAAAAATAAAAACAAATAAATAGAAAAGAAAAATTGAAAACTAAAAAAAAAATGGAACATACCTGATTCACCAATCCAATTGGCGAATTCATTGAAGGTCAACACTCATTCATCAGTCCAAATAGCAACTCTGTTAAATGGGGGATACATTCGCCAATTGGATTGGCGACCAAAAATTAAATGTTAGTTGTTTTAAAAAATATTTTAAAAGCTTATTTTATTTAAAAATTAATTTGAAATACTTGATTATATTAAAAAAAAATCACTTGAAGTAAATTAATTTAGAACTCTCCTATCCCTTCATCCGAATTTTTTTAGTTTAGAGATTGATTCACAACAAACTCACAACTAATAATAATTTAATATTAAGAGGATGCCAAATCCCTTTAAAAAGTTATTTTGCAAAGAAAAAAGATTCAACCAAAAACGAATTATATTTAACCAATTTTAAATATGGAGTAAAAAACAATTATAAATAAATTTTAAAAAAGTTCTTAACTTTTGTGTGAAATTGAATGACCCGGCCCATAAAACTATATATGACCCGACCCAACCCAATTTAATCATGAAGGTTAAAGCCTGACTGATTTTGTGGCTGCCACCATCAATCTCAAATCCCATCACCACCACCACCACTCCCACTCACCAACGATGAGCATTCCGAAAGCAGTAGCGGCGACGATCCGATTGAGAGTTCCAGCCGGCGGCGCACGTCCGGCGCCACCAGTGGGACCCGCGCTAGGTCAATACCGTCTAAACCTAATGGCGTTCTGCAAAGACTTCAATGCGCGAACTCAGAAATTCAAGCCAGACACACCAATGGCGGTTACAATAACAGCTTACAAAGACAACACGTTTGAGTTCATAGTGAAATCTCCGTCCGTCTCGTGGTACCTGAAGAAAGCCGCCGGAATCGAATTAGGCAGCACTCGTCCTGGTCACGTGACCGCCACGACTCTGTCTCTTCGGCACGTGTACGAGATCGCTAAGGTGAAACAATCCGATCCGTTTTTGCAGAACATGCCTCTTGAGTCGCTTTCGAACTCGATTATTGGTACTGCTAGTAGCATGGGAATTAAAATTGTGAAGGATCTTGATTAAGGGAATTCAAAGTTTGGTTTTGAAAGTGTTGAATAATGTTGATGATGATTGATTATTCTGTTTCTAATATGATTAATGAGAATTCACATCATGGTTTTGTTGTGTTGAATACAAGTTTAGTGGAAGAAAGTGATTATAATCTTATTGTTACTTGGCTGATAGATTTTTAATTAGTCAAATCTATGTTAATGCAGAGTATTAAGTATGGTTATATGGCAAGGTTCATTTTTAGATTAGCAATATAATATTAGTAATTGTTATGGTTAGTTAATGCTTATAGAGAGATAGTGTGATTTGTTCTCTCATGGGTAGAAAATAGGTAGGAAAATAAACTAGTTGTGACCATGGTTGTTAGTATCATATGAAACACACAAGTTGTATTGTTGTGACTTGAGACAAACTTGGAGACAGGTCATTTGAATCATAATGTGAATCATATAAACAAGGTGTCTTTTAGTTTATTAATTTGTGAGAAAGTTATTTCTGACCTAGCATTTGAGGAGGGTATATATGACCCATGACCATATTCTTGATCTTGACTCATGATTCATTCAGCTCCACTAGGGAGTGTGGTGGGTGACTAGTCACCGATGATATAGCAACACATGTGTTTGGCATTGCCGAATCTAGTTTATGTCTTCTTCGGGCACCTGATGTGGTTATAAGTGAATGCACCGAGTTTGTTGATATTACATAGGCTTGGACTAGAACATTTTGATGGTTCATAGCCCCCAAACATGAAGATGTGGTCATAAGTGAATGAACTGAGTTTGTTAATATTACACAGGCTTGGACTAGAGCCTCCAAACATAAAGCTTGTATTATTGAAGTGGTTGAGAAAAGACATAACAATCTGTGAAATAATTGCTCTTTTTGTTTATAGGAAGAGGAGAGAAAAAAACTGATTGTAGGAATGAGGGTTTTGATTTATAGGAAGAGGAGAGAAAAAAACTGATAGTAGGAATGAGGGTTTTGATATATTCATCAAGTTTCTGCAATTGCATCAAGTTTTGAAGTATTAAAAAAACTCAGTTGTTTGTGCATGGAGAACTTAGGCCAGCAAGAAAAACCAGATCTGAATTGTCTACAATAGTCCGCAACTCGTTTGAAATCTCAAGCTTAGACGTTATATCAAAAGGAAAATTCAAAATCTGTTTCAAAATTTAGACGGTTTGATCTTAATGGAACAGCCGACATGGATGTTTGCTATCGCAGCTCAGCTAATCCAAATCCAGACAAACAGGGAATCCCTTTAAAGTTAATAGTTAAGGAGTACATCGTTTTCTCATGCTAAAGGAAAACAACACTTTGGCAAAAAATGACATTCCACTAAAGAACAAAGAAAACAACCAATGGACTCAAGATGCAAGGGAGGGTCTACCATCCAAGATAAAATACAGACCAAAACAGACCGAATTAAACCTGTCTTTTGTCAAATTCCTTTTCTTACAAAAATCAAATGGAGATTTATAATATTACAAGATTTTCACCAACCAACTCTTAAAGCAAAATTGGAAGATTGCATGTTACGTAAGTTATCGCTGTCATGACAAGATGACAAGAAAATGTGAACTAATAGCAATTAACCAACTTTGAAAAGAAAAATAGTGAACATATTTTTCAACAAGCCATTTGGCTGAGATATAATGCAGAAAAACAGGTTAGTAGAAAAGATGAATGTGATAGGAAATAAAACTCAAACGGCAAAATAATAGAAGGAAATCAAAATCAGAATCGAGATAATAAGCACAACTCAGTTTCTGATATAAGCTAGCTTAAACATTCTATTTACAAACCAAGTAAAACAAACAAGAAGCTAAAATCTATGTTACACCGAAGTCATCATCCCAAAATGTGGACATCAAAAGCATGCTGAAATTAGATGACAAGCTGATCGATCACACACACAAACAAACAGGAGATTCTAATATACAGTTACGCTACGGCATATCATGATCAAAGTTAGTTTCTAATCAGTTTTGTTGAAGCAAGCTGATTCTGAAAGGGACTGTTCAGTAACAGTTTAGCAGGGCTCACATGTTGGTTCTGCTGCAAAGATGGTGAGCTCAACAGTCCTTCATCCTCGGTAATACGAAATAGAGTAACTTGTAGCACGACATCCTTCGTTTCAACCAGCTCAAACACGCACACATCGCCTTCTCCTAAATTGTTCTCTAATGAAAATTCAAACCATCCTTGGCTTAACTTAGCTCTACCGCTTTTATAAAGACAACGAACTGGCCACTGTCTCCCATCAGAGATTTGAAGTTTGATAATTCCTGAAACGCCGTTCAAGTTCTTCTCTGCGAAGCAAGATGGTAGATACTGGAAACAGAAAGAATTTAGTATGCAAGATCAAAATGTCAAAGAAAACAAAACAAAAAAATGCGTTGGATTCAACAGATGACCATTATGCATCCCCTATATAAATAGGAGGGTCGCAGGACGACTCGACAGAAAGGATTAGATGGTTCAAATGCTTTTGCTGCGTTGATAGCCTTTTCTCTTTCTTCAGCCGTGGCAGTTCTTTTCCTTGCAGATGCACTTTCATAAAACCTATTGCGCATTTCTACCTCATCTTCGTGTTCAGAAGGAGGTTCCTGAACATCTGCACTTTCAAAATTGTATTTTCATTATAAACTTCAATTAAGATAGTGACATCAGAGAAATAAAAACTAGTTTTAAGCGATAACTAGGACCTGATTTACGCTTCTTTGTCGCAGTTTTTTTAACCTTTTCATCAGTGGCTGCACGCAACTTCACCTCTTCAGTAGACTTTTTAAACTCAACTACATTAAACTGGAGACCTATATCTCGGGTCAAGTGGCTGTCTATTGAATTGGAACTTCTAGAAGGAGTATTTCTACTTTCTCCCCAGTTTATGCTATTAAGTTTAGATCCATTAAACAGATTCTGCAGCGCTGGAGGCGAACGAGACTTGCCAGGCATGAATTTATCAGCTGCTCCAGAAACATTTTTATTTTGAAATGGGCTAGGAGTAAGGTTCGTAGGCGACGACGAATTGAGGATTCCAATTGAATCTTCATCTTCCATTTCTTCGAAAATTTTAAGACATTTTGCAACAAGAGACCCTTCATTTCTGCTTTGTGCGGGTGATTGATAGTTAATCTCAGAAGTAGCCAAACAAAAAATATTGACATTGAAAGACGACTTTCCTTCATATCTGAATAGCAACAAGTATCCAACACCGACGGAATAGTTTTGAACAAACTCATGCCATCCATTGAGGAACCAAAATTTGTTGTCTTCCTTTTTCAATCCTACACGCCACACACTTCCGTCAGGAACTGTGAGAGTAACAATCGGAGAAATATCGCCCCCGTATTTCCTCACAAAATCATCTGGAAGCCTCTGCAATTCACAAATCAAGTTAGGTTCCAAATACCCGAAACTTGCTATGATGATATAAAAAAACACCAATTCATTTCAAAGAGTATGATAGAGAGTAGATCTCTAAGGCAAATTATACTACTTCCTTTGGTCCATTGAATAACTAACTAACCAGCACAATATTCACAATATTGTGACTATACCAGATACATCGTTTATTCAATATAAAAAGTAAGTCAGTAATACACAATATTCACAATATCGTCTAGACCAGATACAGTGAATAATCAACGAATATAAAAAGTAAGTCAGTATTATCTTCTAACATCCTAAGACTTTAACCCTACAAACATTGCCACCTCTTTCATCAAACTTTCTTTCACTTCATCAAAACTCTCATAAGCTCAAGAATAACCAGCCACTCCAAAAATAGATAAATAAATAAGCCATGCAAAAATTCAACTAGGAAAAAAAAAGTAAAAACAAAAAATAACAGTTGAAATATTGAGAGAAAATCTAGGTATACCAGTTGCTTAGCTTGGAGAGTGGATGGTAGAACAAGCTTGTGGAATGAAGGACAAGGCATTTTCTGATAGTGAAAAAACCAAAACCAAAACCTTAAAACATGTGATGATGACCCTTTGAATAAAAGTTGAAAGCTTTGAACTCTAGTTAACTCATCTTTCAGATCTACTTCACCATCACTACCAATACCCTTTGCATTTTGCAACTTTCTCAGCTTTTTTGACTAAAACAATGGTTTTTACTTTTTGAAGGCTTATAAAAAAAACCAACAAGAAAAAGACATCAACTTGGCCTCATAACGAGTTGGTGACTCGGTGAGTCAGTACAAAAACAGAGGTTTTCTAAGTTTGGATTTTTCAAGCAACTTTCTTATTTCCATTTTTATAAACCCCACTTTTGTTGTTTCCGTTTGGAGTTTGGAACAGAGTGAGTCGCTTGTTTTGTTTATAAAAAAATGTTACTACTATTTTGCTTCTTTTTTTTCTCTTTCACTATCAAATTAATATTTAAATTGTTTTTCTAGAAAATAACGTTTTAATTGAATGTACTTTTATTCAGTATTTTAATTGAATCATTATTAAAGATGTTTTTATATATTCAATTTAAAAAAAAATTATTGATATTAAATTTTTAGAATTTCTTTTATAAAAATAACCTATTGATTAGTAAATATCAAAATAACATGTTTTTTAAATTAATTATCAAAATAATATAATTTTAAATGAAGAAAAAGTGCATGTGTCATTTTATTTGGAGTTAATACAATAACTAATAGTGCATGCGTCATTTGATTTGGAGCATACACAAGGTATAACCAAATCAAATTGCGCCACCATTTAGGTTGCCCTAAAAATGGAGTGCGTGCGCCATATGGGATGGTGTATTCTCCTATTTTTTTTTTTGTTAAATAGGAAAATAAATGGAAAAAACTAAATTAATTCAAAGAAAAAATAAATAACAATATTTAAATATGAAAAAGTTTACAACTAATGAAAAAAAATTCAATGATCGGCCCGATCAAAACGTCCACCGGTTCTACATCCTATTGCATTTGTGCAGCGTCGAGGTCTACCACGATCTTGTTGAGGTGTTTGTGGTTTTTATGTGTTGTCCTGTGGAAAAAGTATTTGTTGAGAAGGTCCCGACGTATTTGACAAATTTTGAATCATCTGTCACCAATAGTCGAAGGGGTTGCTGCCAACGGCGCTTCCGTAACTCAGTTTCATGCCCATGTTTTCAAAGTTGGGACGAGGGGGTTGAGTTGGATGTGGACAATATGGTTAACTGAATTGGTACATTGAATCATTTTGGAAACAATGCAATGGTTGTTATGGGATTTGGTAGTCAAATAGTGGTTGGGTATTTTGGTGGTAGGACAATTCTGTGTTCATTTGTGGGGGGCTATGGTGGACTGTGATGGATTCGAAAGAGTTATCAGGGCTATAGGAAGATGTGATGTCGGTGTCAGGAGGTTGGCGGTAAGGGTAAGACTTTTGTTGTTGTGATTGGGTGGGTGACATGAATGGGTTGCGGTTCTGAAAGATTGATTGGGTGGGTAGATATGGTTGTTGGGTATAACACGGTGTTTGATGTTGGGCATGTGTTGTTGTGTGTTTGAGGAAGAAGCACGTTGGCACGGATCAATCAAATATGTCAGCTCAGACACAAATTATTGTGTTGTTGTAACCGACCAAAACCAAATCATATATTTATGACTTAGTCTAGCCCTTTCCACAAAAGGGTCGTCTAAGATGTGTTGATGTCGATTCTTCCAATGTCGACACATCTCTTTTGCAATGTCTTTCCAATTATCTAGACCCCATTGTGCATCCACCCTCATTTGATGACAGTCTCCCAAAGACGTCAGAGTGACTAGAATATCTTGATGCATGCCGAACTGCAATTTCACCCGATCACTTTGGTGCATCTCCACTGTAATGAACCGAATGATCGGTGTTTTAGCTGTCTACACTGCAACGTCATTGACGTTGGGCTGATGGTCGAGACCCTCATACGAATGCAGACAAACTACATGAACAAAATATTTAATGAGAAAAATTACAGTGTGGTAATTTAATAGACAAATTTATGGTATTGTAAGAATAATTTACATCGTCCAGCCCAATGTATTCTAAAAGGTTGCGGTACACGATTGTTGAGTTTCTGGGACATCGTTGGTAAGTCATTCTCAGAATTGACCACCTAAAAAAAGTGACATAAACAAATTAGTTACAAAGAAATATTCCATCAAAGTATACATGTTTGATATTTAAAAATAAGCTTACTTGTTTGCGTTGGAGAATGTATATGGATGCGGGTTGACCGGAGCTAGTGTCGACATTCTAGACCAACCCCGTGCTTGAAGTAGAAAGACGCAACCACAAAAAGTACAAGTATTTTTTTAAAACAATTTGTACGCAATGAACTATATAGATGGGTCAGGACAACTGAACATCAACTATAAGTGCATACTTTATTAATGTTGTGTAACAATGATAAATACATAATATTTACAATATTTCCAGTATTTTATAGAAATAAAAAATATCCAAATAAGATCATAATATAACACCGAGTTTTAATATTCTTGTCATACTCGGTGGGTTCCTTCTTTAATATGATAGTGTTATAATATTCTCTTAGGTGATTTAAATTAATACCTTGGCTCCTTGGTTGACCTGCACGTCGTGGCTGAGGTGTTTCGACACACAGAGGGGCACCTAAAAAATCTTCTCAAAGTTGGTTATTAACACTAACTTTGCCATTAACGGTCTTACCATTGATGCGTAGGCCAAGTAAGATATAGACATCTTGTAGTGTGATCATGCGTTCATCAAAAGGAAGGTGAAATGTGTGGGTCTCTAGTCTCCAATGTTATAGCAAAGCTAGAATAAATTTGGGATCAATTGAGTACAAATTGATTTTTATCAAATCACCGAAGCCACATGATTCAAGGTATCCTTGTATGAATGGGTTGTGGGTATGTAGTCATGTACACGACAACAAAAACTTGTTACATCCTGTCAAAGAATATAAATAACATTAGCTATAAGGAAAAAAACAATTAAGTAAGGGGAGACAAAACAAATAAAGCAAAACACTTACAAATTCTGCAATGTTCTCAATTGTTCTTCTATGATCGCTGCCCATGGTGAGTAGAGACATTTTTTAGTATGTGGTATAAAGGTAGGTTGTGATGAAATTGTTGCTTGCTTGTTGAAAGTTTAATGAGAAGAGTTTGTGCTTGTTGGAAAATGTGATGAGAAGAGTTTGTGATGAGCATATTTATAATGGATGAGAAGAGTCACGTAAAATTAGGTTTTGCATGGTGAAATGAACACTGTCGCCATATGGTATGGCGCATGGGATGAAAAATGTAACTCACTATCGCCATATGGTATGGCGCATGGGATAAAAAAATATAGCACATACGCCATATGGGAATCTCTATGCAATGCATGTGAAGCCATTCAATTGTCATGGTTGTGTAGTCATTTAATTGTCATATATGTGTAGTCTTGTAAGAAGAGAAACTCTTACAAGATTCGTACATGCAAGACATAAATGAGACATTATGATAAAATTATCACTTTATGATATGCATGTAAGAAGAGAATCAAATTTAATGTCTCAGCACGTGATTCAATTATCACTTTAATGTTTTTGCATGTGACATTATGATAGGCTTGGAAGAATACTATTGTAAGCATGTGAGAATTTTGTAGGCATGCAAGACTCTATGGTAGCTTGTAAGACTATTATAACTTGAAGCATAAATGAAGACATGACTAATGCATGTGAGAATCTTGTAGGCGTGCAAGACTTTATAGTAGATTGTAAGACTATTAAAAAAATGATAAAACAATAATATATTCAAACAATGTGTCTATTAATACTCTTGAGATATAAATTTTATTATCATATCATTTAGTAACATTTACAAACACTAATACACTAAAAAATTGCCAAACAAATCTTCCAAACACGAGTTTACAACACATATTTGTTATGGCTCAAACACCACAATACATGATTAGTGCACATTGTCACACCCTAAATTTTGACCTCAAGATCCCACCGCTTTGTGCATCATCTTGCATGTATGTGTATTTGTTGTGATTAACCAGTTTGTGCAGGTGCAGTAATTTAAAGTGGAGATAGTGCCCATTCTCACAGGCAAGTATTTCAAGGCATAAAACTTCTGATCCAAAGAGCCTTAAGGTCTTCTATTTACGGTGAATCTATGGTTTCATTAAAGATCAAATCAATTGGCCCTTTCATGAAACTAGGGTTTAAACATAATCTTATCAAGGATCAAAGGTCACTATCCTCGAAGTTTCTCATAAGCTTCCAAGCACACCAAAAGAATTAGGTTTTTTTGTTTGTTGGTGTTGAACACGATTAGATGAAGATTGGTCTTCGTGGTAATTTGCATCACAAGTTGTATAATTATTTTTTTTCAAAGGATTCTTCAGGTCATGGTTTGCGTGATAAATGTCAAGCAGGATCTATTTTATTCACGGAGTTGGATTATCACGTAAGTTTTTTTCTAAAGAGAAAAAGTTTGAACTTTCTTGTCAATAATTTGTGATCAATGTGTTTGAAAGTGTAAGGATCTTGGATTGGGTTTAGGCAAGAGGTTCTCAAAGAAAAACTCAAGACTCATGAAAACCCAAAGTTGATTCATTGTTTTAAGTTATGATTGAATTCATTCAAGTGAAAATTTTAGATGAAAATATAAGAAATAATTCAGAGTTCACCATTCAAGTGTTCAAGCCCAAAATCAAGAAATTTATACTCATGTCTTTACAAGATTCTAATCAATTCCAAAATGCAAAGAGTAAATCTTCATTCATCCAAGGCTTACAAATGATGTCCAAGAGGGAAACACTAGTTCCAATTTTAAGACATTTGGCAAACCTAAGGTTCAAAATTAGTATTCAAAATCATTCAAAATTGCAAGTTCAAGTATAAAGTTCCAATTCATTCAAAGTTGACAAGTTGGAATTTCATAATTGTTATATCGAATACATGTTTGATACAAGTTCTTGAAGACTCATT